GTGTGTAATCAAAAATACAGAAAAAAAAAATCAACTTTCTTACTTGGGTCCTTTGGCAATACAAGCTCAATGGCTTTACAAGAGAAGAGACGGGCAGAAAAAATGCAGCTTTCGAACCGTGATTGAACAATCCGAAGTATCTTGTCGAGTCCAAAGAGAAAGATTCCAGGGAGAATCCAGTAGAAGTGACGATCACCAGCATGAAACAAGAAAGATACAAGAAAAAGTATATACAAGTGGTGTGTGTAATAGAAAACTTCAAAAAATTTCCTTCGAATTTGAGGAAGTGATGTGATTAACATCACTAATCCTGTAACAAGACTGATCACTCCAGCTACATATACCCGACCGGTACTCTGCCATTGCCAAATCTGTTTTAGTTACCAGAAGAAGTGTCAGGAACACTTGTTCAGGATTGTTTACAAGAAACAGCTGGCTTATTATATTTTACCTCTTCTTCAATGTGATGAGTAAAAGTCCATATGAACAATGTGCTTCCACCATGAACAAAAGAAAAGAAGATCAAACCGGTCCCAAGCCACACATGATACTTTACAGAAGCTGCAAACTGAATGTTGAGTAACCGGAACATCGAGAGTCCCCTCAAGACAGGGAAAAGAAGCAGAGCGAGACATGCTTCTGCTAATAGACCGAACCTTGTAGCAACTCTGAAGTACTTCAGCTGCCATCTGAAAACATAACAGAGTTTAATAACCTCTGTATACAAGGGCTACAATTTATGGATTCGGAGAGAAGTTTACAAGTCAAGATTCATGGTTTTGACAGGTATCAGCTTCTTGAGGTCGTTAGAGACACGTGAATAGAAGGTCCAAGCTAGAAAGAGCACGAATACAACAAGAGCAAGGATCTCGAAACAAGACACAACTCCAATGAAGCTATTGATAATGGCTGGTCTCGAGACAGTTATAGCTCCTTTCCTCCCTCCTCTACGGCTCGTTATTGTCACAAGTAGACAAAATACAACATCAAAGTTTTGATCTTTACTTTCTTTTAACTGTGACTTGAGACTGAAATGCTATTACCTTGCTGGACGATGATGTTGGGACAGTAAACTCAAGTAAACGAGTCCAATCATAGAAAGAGCAATAGGAGGGAATGAGAACACGGCAAAGTTGAGACCTGATGAGTCATAATTGCATAAATCAGAGACGTATGGAAGTAAAGTAAGAGAAGATTGGTAGTTACCGTAATAACTGATGAAAGTATGTTTGATGGTGTCTTCAGCTTGACGCCAAGATCGTATCCATAGAGTGGTGGGTTTTATAATCCAGAGAGAAATCCAACCAGTAAGTAAGAGGATCATGAGTGTTCGGAGAACAAATAGCGTCAACACTTTGGCCATCCTTGTGTTCACTACTTTAGTTAGTTCCAATGTTCGAGGGTGGTTTGGTTTTTTTGTTTAGCTTCTTCCGATTCGTCTATATAACGAAGCAAAAGAAAGATGACCCAATGAGTGGGCCCCACCACCATATCACAACTCACAAGTGTCTTTCGCTTTTAAAAGAAAGAAGACCCAACGAGGAGTGTAGTCGTTTTAGACTATCTCCAACTCAACGCCAAATTCTACACCAAACATATTTTTTGGTATAAAAACCTCTCCAAACCAACACTATTTTCAACACTAAAATGGTATAAACTCATTTTTTTATATGGTATAAAAAATGAGTTTTTACCATTTTAGTGTTAAATTTTTGAAAAATTTCAAAAAATGCCATTTTTCAAATGCCACTTTACAAAAATGCCACATTTTTGAAATCTTTACAAAAATACCATTTTTTCAAAATTATTTTTTCTTTATATTATTTATGTTTGGGTTAATTATGTTCTATTAGGGTTTAGTTTTGAGTGTTTCTGGTGTTTTAGGTGTCAAAATATTTTTTAGGGTTTAGAATTTTAAGATATAGGCTTTATAAATCTATAATTAGTGGTATTTTTGTAAATGGATACCCCTAAGTGACATTCTTACAAATGTGCACACAAAAAATGGTATTTTTGTAATTGTCCCTAAATTTTTTTATTTATAAAAAAGTTCTTCATATTTTAATCAACTTTAAAATTAATAAAAAAACATATACAAATTGTGATGGTTAAACCTAAAATCTAATATGTTTGATAATAATTAAACAAAATCTTAATATATTTTATTATTTTATATGTTACAATCTATTTCTTTTATATAATAAATGTTAAATTTAATTTATTTCATAATTTTTTAAACTTAAAAAAATAAGTAGGGTTGATTTGTAAATTTTAAAAAATTGAAAAGAGAATCTATTA